CCTGCTGCTGCTGCTGCTGCTGCTGCTGCTGCTGCTGCTGCTGCTGCTGCTGCTGCTGCTACCGCCGCCGCCGCTGCTGCTGCTGCTGCTGCAGCAGCAAAAGAAAAGGACTTGTTGGAATGCAGGACTGGCGGAAGCAAAAGAAGAACTCCAAGAAACCATTCAGTGTTTAAAGTCTCCCCAAAAATTCAAACAGTTGGGCGCGAGGCCCCCCAGGGGAGTTCTCCTTGTGGGGCCCCCCGGCACGGGCAAAACAGCCCTCGCGAGGGCCGTCGCCACAGGTAGGGTTTAGGGTTTAGGGTTTAGGGTTTGGGGTTTAGGGTTTAGGGTTTGGGGTTTAGGGTTTGAGGTTTATGGTTTAGGGTTTGGGGTTTAGGGTTTAGGGTTTGGGGTTTAGGGTAGGGGGTTTGGGGTTTGGGTTGGGGGTTGGGGCTGGGGTTAGGGTTTAGGTTTTAGGGTTTAGGGTTTAGGGTTTAGGGTTTCGGGGACAGAGCTGAGCGGGCAGGCGGTGGGGGAGGCGTGCGCAGCTGGGGCGCGACTGGCCTAAACCCTAAACCCTAAACCCTAAACCCTAATATGGCTAAGCCGTAAACCCTAATAGACTAAACCCTAAACCCTAATGCTAGGCAAAGAAGAGCAACAGTTGCCGGCTTTTAAACCACTTTGACCAAGCCAAACCCTAGGCAACGGCTCTCCTCTTCAACAGCGCTAATAAACCCTAAACCCTAAACCCTAAACCCTAAACCCTAGCGGTTTCTTCCCCTGCTTCCAGAGGGCCAAGTAACCCCAGCCAGCCCTGGCCACCCTAAACCCTAAACCCTTGAAATTCTAAACCCTAAACTTCAAAACCCTCATAAGCCCTTCCATCGTAATAAACCCGGAAACCCGTATAAACCCTAAAACCCTAATAAACCCTAATAAACCCTAAAACCCTAATAAACCCTAATAAACCCTAGTAAACCCTGCGAGCTTAATGAATTCTGATAAACCCTAAAAGCTGTAGTAAGTTTAACAAGCCCTATTAAATCCCAAGAAACCCTACTAAACCCTAATAAACCCTGATAAACCCTAATAAACCCTAATAAACTCTGAAAGCTGTAGTGAACCCTAATAAACCCTAGTAAACCCTGGTAAACCCCAGTAAACCCTAATAAACCCTGATAAACTTTGAACGCTAAACCCTAATAAACCCTAGTAAACCCTAAACCCCAGTAAACCCTAAAGAGTAAACCCTAAGTGGTGGCTGTAGCCACTTCGACCCAGCCCGAGCCACCCTCTTAAACCCTCAAAAACCGTAAACCCTCGAACCCTAAACCCTCGAACCCTAAACCCTCAAGCCCTAAACCCTAACTGCTCGCTCTGAACTGCAGCGGCGCAAACCCTCTCCTCCCAACCCCCGCAAACCCTAAACCCTAAACCGCCGGCTTGCGCTCGCAGCGGCGCCAGCCCTCCCCGCAGTTGCCAAACCCTAAACCCTAAACCCTAAGCCCTCGCCCTTCGTGGCTGCAGCGAGTCTGCGCTGGCGGCGCCCCCAAACCGCAAACCCCAAACCCTAAACGCTAAACCCTAAACCCTAGTATGTGGCGTTGCAGAGGCGCAAGTGCTGCTGCTGCCCGCAAACCCTAAACCCTAAACCCTAAACCCTAGTGTTGCAGAGGCGCAAGTGCTGCTGCTGCCCCCAAACCCTAAACCCTAAACCCTAGTGTGTGGTGTAGCGGAGGCGCGAGCGCCGCTGCTGCGCCCAAAGCGCAAACCCTAAACCCTAAACCCTAAACCCTAATTTGTGGTTTTGCAGAGGCGCAAGTGCCGCTGCTGTACGCCTCGGGCTCGGAGTTCGTGGAGGTTTATGTGGGCCAGGGGGCCCGCAAAGTGCGGCAGCTGTTTGCTGCAGCAAGAAGGGGGGCCCCCATGATACTGTTCATAGACGAGTTGGACGCAGTGGGGGCCCGGAGGGGCCCCGGGGGGCCCCCCGGGGGGGCCCCCGGGGCCCGCGAACATGAACAAACCCTCAACCAACTCCTGGTAGAACTTGATGGCTTTCAGGGGGGGGGGGT